GACATTAGCATTCTATTCTCATTTTACAGCCAAAGAGTTTTAATGTTGTAACTATTTTATTATTTGGATTCATTTCATTTTTCTAAAACAGAAGCTAAAAGAGTAGCCTTTTCATTTTTTATCATTTCCACAATCTCAATGTCATCATAAAAATACTGAACCGTCCTTCTCCTGAGAAAACGGCAAGGGCCTTCTGTAGCCCCAGAGGCAACTGGTTCCTTTTCAGGATGATATAATAGTGCTTATCCCATTCATAGATTGTAAAGGTCTCTCATGAGTAATTTTACATAGAAAATCTTCCTATCATTTGAGAGAACTGACTAGATAGCAACATATGGTTATCCTATCGTAGTTTATGCACTGTTCCAATTTTTGTACTTTTCAAAACAAAGCAGAAAAGATACTCAGTGGGAAAATAAGTGTTACCCATTGCTCTAAGTTTCATGTTTTCATATCTATTACTATGACACGCATTACTGCCATTTATCAATGAGAATCCTGGGGCCCAGAAAGGCAGAGCAATTATTAAAGTTGATACAACTAGGTCAAAATACCAAGTTACCTGAGCTTGGTAATGTTTCCATTGGTGAAATAAGAATAAAATAATGAAAAGATAATTAAAAAAATCACCAAATCTTCTTTGAGTTTTTTCAATCATGAAAACATTTTGTTATATAAGTAGATTGAGGAACAATAACTGAATAAATAACTTAATACTCAAAGGAACCCAACTGTTCCTTGAGATAGAAATAAATAAAATCAAAATCAATGAAAATGTATAATATTCTATCTTATTACAGGTTAGGTGACACTTTGGCCATGATGACCTTCCTTTGTCACCCTCCCTCTCATTTCTCAATGGCTACATCAGATTTTTATTTTCAAATCATCAGGAAAACAAATTTTCATTTTTGCAAAGTAGACCTAATCATTCCACTAACATGTGTAATGTTCACAATAAGCTATTCCTTATGGGAGCTTCAAAAAAGAAGTGAAATATGAAGACTTTTGAGAAGGCCTGGAGTTCCCAGAAGGGCCACTGGGCCCATGTCTGTTCAGCCAGAGAACAAGAGATTCATGAAGGGTTTGTTGCAGTTTTTGAACAACCAAAGGAATAAAAAAATATGTCACAGTTTCATTTTCACTGAAAAGAGGTATAAAAAGGAAAAGGTTTACACTAAGCCAAAAGAATTCAGACTACACATCAATTGGTAAGAACACCCTGCTAAAGAAAGACACAGCAAGAAAGACTATTTCTCTAGAGGCTTTTAAAGAAAGGCAAACAAGTCGCCTTTGTGAATTGCTTAAAAGTAGATACAGATTCACCCACACACAAGATGATGCCCTTTCCTACATGCAGAGTCCCAATGCTTTAGCATATTTATGCCTTCTTTTGCTTTTGCACTTAGAAAGTCCTTCACCTACCCCAACGTCAGATAAATAACTATAATTTAGAATTTGAATTTTTTACATTTAATTCTCTAACCCAGCTGGAATTTATCCTGCTGAATGGTGGGAGAAAGGTATTAAGTTTTCCCCCAAAAGTTTTTCAGTCATCTTAGTGATTACCAGTATGCTTATAAATAGCTTTTGTATTTAGTTATAGCCAGGGAACACCTAGGCATTTCCACATTTAAGGAGTACCTAACACCACTTTTGCCAACAACCTTGACTAAAAGTAGTCATTACATTTGGAGGTGATTCAATATCCTTACCTTGGCCCATCTGCATCTTTAAAAGCCCCAGCCATAAGCAAGCCTGGTGTCCTGAGAGGAGAGACCACCACCAGCAAGAACTTTGGACTAACATGGGCAAGAGCAGTCTGTCTGATCAAGTACACCACCTAGGCACTCTCTGAGAAAAAGAATTGCTTTTCCTTAAGAATTACCACGGGACAAGGACCCCAAGATAACCTGAGGAACGTAAGTGCAGAGGTAACAAGGCAAAGATGGTGCTCGTCTCCAGAGGATTCCCTAGAAGTCACTGGACAAAAGAACCAAAGAATAGAAAATCTAACCTTATGGATATTCTAGGTTAGAAACACAGGAGGAGATCTCAACCTATTGAATCCAATGATCCAGTGTTCAATCCGTCTAGTGAATTTCAATGGCATTTTCTAAACTTAACATTTAGGAAGAAGGGAACAGCAAAGAGCTACTATCTCAGTCTTCCAGCCTACTGGCAGGGGTCTCAAGCTCAAGTGCTTACAGGAGCAGACAAATGGAATAAATGAGTAAAGGGGATCAAGTGAACTGGGCTTTAGAGCCTGAAAGGCAATGCAGAGCATTGGAGACTTGGCAAACTGGAATTCATGTCCCTGAAACACTTGCTCCTTCTAGTGGAGAGTGTACACTACACAGCTGCAGGAGTTTGTGCCACTGAAAATTCAAGCCCCGAATTGCCAGATCTTCCAGTTTTTCTAAAAAAGCCAAAATTATAAGTTTATATGAATTTCTTGTTTCTTAGAGTTTGGCAATTAATTAAATTTCTTTTGAAAACACACAGGTCACACCAGATGTATTTATGAGCTAGAGCTGGCCAACAGAGCACTAGTGTGGGATCTCAAATTATAACATCACACATACAACCCACAAGTCACACAATTTTTTAAAGTACTCTTCCCTACTCCTATGCCCTACTGTGCTTCCTCCTATCTGCTGTTCTTTTCCTCAATATGCCAAATTATTACAAGCTACACAGAACTTAGGGTGTGTGTGGAGTGTGAGTGAAGGATGCTATACTACCTCATTCACCCCATTCCAGAGTCAGACAAACTCTGATTTTTTTTTTTTTGGTTTTGTTTATACGAACTCTGATCTTAATACAAGGGCCTGCCATTTTGCAAATAAAGATTAATTGTTATGGACAGTTACGTTAGGTCAGACTGCTGAGCCAAATTTAAAATTTTTTTTTTTATTGTAAGTAAAGAATAAGTCTTACATCTCTGAAAATGTCTTTTTTTCCCCTTCTTTTTTCTTTAAGAACTCTAAAATGTCCTGTTTCATATATCAAAAATGACTAACTGCTCTCAGGGTAAAGGCTTTGACATCAGCTAGCATTATTTCATGCTAGAGGTAAAAGAAGCCTCAAACGAAATTCATTAACAGAACTGAAAATCATTTCCACTAAAAAGGCTGCAGGATTTTTAGCCTCTACACAAAGTAGACTGATTACTTACTTTAAAACATGTTTACCTAATGGCACCCTATTCCAATCAAAGTAAGTCAAAAGGTTTAAGGAATGAGTTAACCCTACTGGGATTCAACCTACACATCTAGTCTGCAGATACATAATTTCTAGATATCTTTTCCCACAGGCTCTAACAGGATTTCTATATTAGATAATCATCATTAATCTTATAAACAAACTATGGTCTTCCATAATCTAGAAGACTTTCTTCTTTCACTACATAAGGATATGGTTTTCAATGCAGGGTGTCTCAAATACATTCACTTTAAGAAGTACTGGATCAGGGAAGGTTAATATATATCATGACTGCCCACACACATTAGTCTAGTCTTGCTGTTACCCAAGTGCGATAAATTCTCCATTCTACCCATTCTCCTCCACACCAAGCCAACTATAGATGATATTTTAGAGGGCAACTGACTCTGACATCAATTTGGAAATAATCAGCCATAATTCCTAGCTGAGTTCAAAATGAACACCATAAATATAACTGATTCAAATTAGAATTCATTTTTTAAAGTTCCAAGTTTTTTTTTGTTTCTAAGTCAGATAATTTTACAATAGGACATTATAAAAATGGAAAATGAGAAAAAAAATCTAAGAAGTGATTTTTAATCCAGTCTTTAGAATTCTTCTTTTACCAGTAGCATAACAGTAGTTAAGTAGCTATAATGAGAATCTACTCAATCAATCAATATGCATATTAATCAACAGCAAGTATTCATCATTAGGCATGATATTCATGAGTACATAAATCCCCAGTCCTCTGTGGTTGAAAACAAAATACCATGAAGACCCAGTGGCCTCAAAACTCAGTATTAGGACCAATTCCTTCATCTCTTCCCAATACTGTCTCTCTGAAAACAAACTCAGTTTTATGTACATGACTTGTAATTGTTGGGTTTTGTTTCTTATTATCAGAAAACCTACAAAATCTTAAATTTTAAAGTACTGTGCTATGAGATCAGGTAAATTATTCACATATACTTTATTTTGTTAGGATACTACGGCAGCATCCATACTTTCCAAGAAGAAAGTAAGACTGAAAGGAGAAAAGAAAGAGAAGGGAAAGATTGCTAACTCCACAAATAAGAGCATGCTAATTCCTACAAGTTTACATAACAGAGTATGATACCCACACAATGGTCTGGTGATTAAAGCAAACCTTTAGACAAGAAAACAATAGTACTTATTGAACAATCACAACAGCAAGAGGAAAATCTGCTTTCCTAGAAAAAGAAACAGTATTAGAAAGACCTATAGCAAATAGTGATTTTTTCCCCCCTTTTTACCATGTTTTTTTGACAGTGTAAATTCTGAAGTATAAATCTATGTGAGGGATAGCAACAAGTTTTGGAGAATGATGAGTTACTATATTCTACATGTCACAAATAGCAAAGAGCTCTATAGAAATCTGTTCCTCCCATAAACAGAAATTCGATTTCTAAATGAAAATACGCCTCCCATACTTGACTGTTTATGACACCACATCCAGAGTAGCAGATTTACTCATGAACAGTAAATGTCAAATTTATATTCTTTTCTACCAATAAAGGCATGCTTTTATGTAAAAAATGACATACAACATATTATCCTTTCTTAGGAAATAATGGTGCTTGCTTTGAGTTTCATAACAGAGTTTAACCATTTTCTTTTCCCTTTTCAAGAGCAAGGCACCAACTAGGCAAGTACCCCATTAGTTTTTATTTCAAAAACACTATGGACATTTGGCTAATGGAGTCTCACGATAGTGAAAATGAAATGATTCAATATTGGTAATGCAGATAAATGCTCACTATATTCCAACTTACCTAGAGCACTGACAAAGGCATCAAAAAGATGAAATGTAAGCAGAGGCTCTTTCAAGTGACCATAGTAATCTGCTATGGTTTTAAAGACATCTTTTTCAAATCCTAAGTACATAGGCTGCTTCAAATCCGAACAATTAGGCCCTATTAAAAAAGAATGAGATAGGAAAAAACATTAGCAGGGCAACCACTGAGTATTAGCTTCTCTGCATATGTATGTTGTGTACAGATATTCAAAATCAGAAAAGTTTTCATGGGGAAAATGACATTAAATAAATTGACATTATACATTTCACTTATACAAATAAGAAAAAAACCACAGTTAACCTGATTTATGGCTACATTGATATCTATTATAAAACAATGAGGAAAACCACTGGCTTACTTCCATTTTAAATGAAATTCACTCTTTTTTTTGGTCCTTCCAAAAGGCATTTTTATTAAATGTAAACAATGATAATTTTCTTGAAATATTCAATATTTTCCTAGTTTTGACAGCACTGACCATGCTAACAATTAGCTCACACATGTAATAGACAAATTATAAAGCAATTTCAAAGCTTTTCATTATTTTGAGTCAGAGCTGAGTAAAATAATCAATTTCTGCCTCTAAACTATTTCAGACTGGTAAGAATTTATACCTTTTTCTTAAAGATATTCTGAAAAGGAGATTTTACATTGTGTCTTGTAATGCATTCTGATTGTAAAACTCCATATTTAATCCCTAACCAACCAGCAAAAGATAGTTTATCAAGCAGAGTCATATTGCAAAGTTGGAAGAACTATAAGAAGCCTGAAACAACCTGGTCCCAGCCCTATCCTATGCCAGCAACAAGGCAAAGATCCACTTGTATCTGGGACGAAAGAGGAACAAGAAATGCTTAGCTCTCTGTGGAGTTGGCAGCAAATGCCCCCAACGATCCACAGAGAGACTGCAGGTTTATACTGCCAAGTGCAGAGATGAGCTAGAGCTGCCCGCGCCTTGAGGAAAACGGCGAGTGGTCCCAGGAGGCAGGGTAGCCAGCCTTCTCTCTTCCCATCACAGCACGGAAGAAAGTTCAACTGCTGGTAGGCTCTGGGCCAGCAGAACACACGACTAAACTCTACCCAAACAGAGCTCTACCTCAGGAGAACCTAAGATGAAGCCAGTAAGAACGGAAAGGAAATTCTAACTACATGATCGCTCTAACTAAAGACAAAGGATCAAACTAAAAAAGACAAGCATTCTGGGCCTTTATCTCAAGGCCACTGGGACACTGTGAATATGGCTTTTTGTGGGTCTCTCTAAAAACTCTTCTTACCTTTTAGTATTCTGAACACTTCTTAGAAAATAACTGAATTTGAGTGGCTAAAGTAACAAAAATTTTGAAAGGTCTCTTGTGTGGTGCCACATAAACCTAGCATCAAACAGCAGACATTTCTGCTTGAGTCCCCCTCTAAAACATTGCAGGCTCAGTCAACTGAAATGCTGTCATTAGTTTACTATGTCTAGCAAGCAATACACACTACTCCCTCCCCAGAATAAGTATGCAGTTCATTCTAAGCAACTGTACCCTTTTGTGAACATTTCATCATTCTTGTTAAAAATATGTAAAAAATAGTTTCCCTAAAAATGCCAGGTGCATAGTGAGCTCTATGAGGAGGCCATATTTCTAAGATCTTTTATTTCTTAATCATCTTGAATTTCAGAATTTTTTTTTAATTACATTTTTATAAATGTTATTCTTGACATTTTGGGAAAGAGTTGTGTGTATCCATTTCTGATTGAATTCTTGCAAGCTGCATGCACAAAGAAGAAGAAAACCACAGTTGACCTGGTTTTATATTTATTTAGCATTAGTCCTTCATTCTGTGGTCAACCACTACGCTGGCCAAGTACCCAGGCCTGTGTGTACATGGTCTACAATTAATGTGGACAGGCTGAAAGGAAAGAAGGGAGGAGCAGATTTACAGAAAAGAGAGCACTAGGCCTTCAAAATACCATATAATCAGTCTACCCTTTCTGTTCCCTTTTAGATGACTATAATGGAAACCTAGACTCATTAAAAATAAAAAGGGTAAGAAATAGGTCATGACTTTAAAAGACTCAAAATAAACTTTGGAGACCAATGAGAATTTGGAAAAATTAATAATTTAATAGAACTATTCAAAAGGCTGAACTTGTCCTTTCACCACCTTTTTTTCTGACATATAAACAAACATCTTATGAATATGCCAACCATCCACTGCACTTGATACATCTGAGACATATCCTGTCCCAAGAATCTCCACCTAATATACCACCAGCAGACACACATGGAGAACATTACTGAGTCACTCCTCACATCTTTCCTCTCCACTGATGAGAAATTCCAGTTATTCTAGCTTTTCTGCAGAAGTTTGGTGGCTTTATGTGTACATTTTCCTTGAGGGAAAACTATGCTCTTTACTAAGTTTTGATCATCACTGAAAATTCAACATCATAGCCACACCTTAATATGCACTTTACAACATATTATAGCCTAGATTTCTTATTCTGGCTTCCTCTGTTCATTCCCAGTTGATCAACCTCCAGATCCTAAATTTGCCAGGAATTCAGAAATGGATAATTTAGTATCTTATTTATATCTTCTATCTTGTCACTGTCAACTCTGGCCAAGGATATAATTTAACTTTGATTTCAAATGAGCAAGAAAAAGAAAAATCACTTTCCCAAGGCAAAACCACAGAATTCTACATCTCAGAGGTTCCAAAATAGTTACCAAAAAATGATCATTTTAATAGTTAAACATAGAGAACTCTGGGCTTCACATAAACTAACACAATGTTGCTATTCACATTCAGAGTGATAGTATGTAATCATTTTCTGTATATTACCTCTGAAATCACCCACAGTAAGCTGAATCGTTATTTTAGTTTCATTCTATAATCAAACAAAATCAACTTCAGTTAAATAAATAATTCAGAGTCTACTAATTCAAGAATTTATACACTTATCTCTATACATACTAGTCTCACCCAAAAGGGAAGAAAGAAACTACCTCTCTGCAGTGATCTGTGATGTCTCAAAAGGCCCTAGAGAATAAATATCACCACCATCAATCAACCAAAATAACTAGAATTCTTCTCATTAAAATCATTTGCTTGAGCTAAGCCATTAACCACTAGAATCCCTCTTTTGGGTCAAGCCTTCTGAAATCCCCCCCGAAATGACAGTGTTAAGTGAAATACCATAATTACTCGTTGCTTTGCAGTACCTCTGATATCCAATAAAATGGATTTCATATGCCTGTGAAAACCTCAGAGGGACAGCCCTGACTCAGGCACCTTCACTGTACATCCAAAGACTGAAACAGTCTTTCTTGTTTCTCTGCATGCAGGTTCTTCTCCTTCCAAACCATCTAGCCTACCAGTTAGATTAGGCTTCTAAAATAGTTCTCTCCCAATTAAACTACTAATGGCCCTGTAAATAGCCATTAGTAGACAGGATCTGCTAAGCAAACTGTTGATGTAAATATAGGACATACTTAGGAATACATGTTTTAGGAATAAAAATCATTCACTAGAAAATGGAAGCACAGATTCCTTTAAAAGTATTCTATAATTCATCCCTTTCACCAAGACACAAATTTATCACTAAAAGTACAGTAATCCCAAAATAATTAAAGGCTAGTCTCACAGGTGTCAAATCAATGTTCAGGCCATTGAGCAAAAATATACTCTAATTCAGGATGCTAATTTCTATGAATTTCATAAAACTGGAGGACAATTAGTACTTACAATTTGCCAAACACTTCATTGCTGACAGTACCCAATGAGGAAGTTCTTCTGCAGAAAAATAAAAACAAAAAGCTATCTTACTCAATTGCATATAACTTTAGAAGTTACATATATAGTTGGTATCATAAGAATATAGTACTTGCCCAAGTAATATGAAATGTATCTGCTAATCAAATCTACCTATTTATGTATAAATCATGCCTGCAAAATTCTCCAAGGACAAGATGAACTTTAGTGACATATTAATGTAGGCTATTCATATTAGAACACCCTTAAAATAATAATGGTTAACATTGCTACAAAAAAATCCTAGATGAGCCATTTGGTAGAGTCTCGTCTTCCTCCCTGGCCCTGCCACAGGCATCTGATGGATGGGCCAGCACTCATGCTTCCACTTTCTATCTTCTCCACCTTCAGCAAAACTGCAAGACAGTGGTTGAATTGTCAACCTAATGAGCCTGAGTCTTGTGAGTGCTCTCTTCTTTCTGAAAAACTTAATAAGACAAAAGATGCCTGGTCATCCAACTGGTAGCTAAAAGTATTAATGTTTGCTGTACTCAGAGAATGTGAAAGGATTCCAGATGTATTTCAAAGGCAACACCTCCTCATTCTATGTAACTTAATTTTACATGTTGGTATTTATTAACCAGACAACTCATGAATTCACAAATTTCTGCTCCCTGATGTCCTCCTGAGGCAGGGGCTATAAGAGGGGAAGCACTTAAGGCTTCAAAGACACATTCTGTTCCTGCCAGGAAACTTGGCCTAGAGCAACCTCTTCCTGCTCACCGCTGCTCGGCTCCTTCTGGCACAGCTCTGTCTGCTGCCTGGAGCCTCCAGCCTTCTCTTTAATAAATTATACAACCCAAAGTACTGTACCACATTCCCACATCCAGTGGTCATCCTAGTTCCAGCTGATGCCCAGGACCAAGGGTTTGAAGCGAAGAAAGGACCAATCAAAGAGCCCATCCAATTAAAGTCCCTCCCTTTATCCAGGGGAGGAAGCAGTAAAATCAGTTTGGAGATCCTGGCTCACTCCACATACCATGATGGTACTTTTCCAAATCAAAAACCAGAAGAGATAGCTACTAAATGTCTTTTTTTTTCTTCTGATTTGTCAACTGGCTTAAAAAAAAGGTATACAAAATTGAAACACCTTCAACATTTAAAAAGCTACTTTTATAAAAAGAAAAAAATGACATAAACCACAAGTATCCCAGAAAAACTGACACAGACATACCATAACAAAAAGATCAATGAGAACCTAAAATCCATCAGACCCCAAGATCCACCTGAAAACTGACTCAAGTTCTAAGGTACGTCTTAAACCTAGTCACTTTTCAGGGATTTTCCAGGGATAATACAGAACCACTTAATGCGAGGGTGGCTAACACTGAATTGGCCTCTGGATGGATTCTCCCGACGTTTTCACTCCTGAGGATTCATCATTCTATGACATTTCTTTAATCCAAACAATTAGTTAAATGGCATTAGGACATGAGAGGAGACTATGTGTAATGAGGGGAAAAATTTATTTAGGATTTAAAGAAGTGTCAAATAGAAGCTGCAGACCTATGCAGCCAACGTATTGGATCAACAAGAAACAAAATGGTTTTTACGCACTTACTTGACTTGTCATCAAGGATAACAACTCCCTGCTTGCTCACACTATATACATTATGTATGATGAACTTGGGCTTGACGAGTTTAATGTCTAATACTTCTTCTAAGGAATCTAGGCCAAGGATTTTCTGTAAACTAAAAAAATAAATAAGAATTACATTAATTAGTTACTTTTTAAAAAATCATTATTTACCCCAAAACCCAGCACTGTAAAAGATCAGTCTTTAAAATGTGTTGTTTTCATTCATTTCACCCAATCTTTCTGGGGCAAAAAGGCTAGAAATTGAGTATAAGAGAACACACTTGAAAAATATCCTTTTGCCATTAATATATTGCTTCACTAATTTAATAACATAACACCTTGAATGCCAAAAAAATGATTTCATAGGATATCATAAAAACAAAAACTAGCTTATCTAATGATGAGAAACTGCTACTAGTACATTTTTGTGAGAAAAAACAACAACTTGCTATATCATTAACCTTAATTACCAACAGTACATCAGATATCTAAAAGATCAAATTTCTCATTCTGTTTCATTAACAGTTCAGTGTTACTAGGAAGTTTAAGAACTTTCAAATGTCTATTCTTAACTATTATATAAATGACACAGAAAATATCCAGAATTCAGTTAAATTATGTTTGATAAGCAGCACAGCTACAAATAATGCAATCAAAGTTGAAATTTTTATACATAACTTCAGGAAATTAAGTATGCAGAGAATAGTGGAGAAGCAAATTAGAAAAAAACACACACTAAAAAGTGTCATTAATATCAAATGCACATACTATGATAATGTCATAGACTTCCATATCTCTTCTACATTGGCCTCTGTCAGCTGTCTGCGGTAGACAAGACGGCAAGCCGGCACCTCTCCGATAGCAATACTGTGACGCTTGTACCACATCTCAGAATTCTAATGGCGGGAAGGGGAGTAGAAAGAAAGAAAATAAATATTTCAGTAGACACTGGTATGGTTTTATGAGAAATTCTTTAATTTGGTTACTTGCAATTTGATTTAAAAATAACAAGAAAAATAAACTTTCTTTGCATGGACTACAGAGAAATAAAATGACTCTTAAAGATCAGGTCATATCATAAATGAATATTCAAGAATTGCAAAAGAGCTATGATGATAAGCATGACATTTCCTTTGAGAGTTCCAAATAATCAGTGAAGTAGGAATGAAATAAAATTTTATTACTTCAAAATTAACTAAAGGAATTCCTATCCAACTTCACACACTGTCCAAACTGAATAATTATTTAAAATAAAATGATATTATATTCAAGAGTTCTCTATTTTTTTTTATAAGTAAAGATCAAATAAGTACAATGTTGAAGAGCAGCCCCCAGATCATAGGCATGTCTAAAAGGCAGGTAAAACAAGAGCTCCACAGGGACAGCTGGAGATGGGAAGGAGAAAAACTAATACTCAACAAAAATGGTAGTATTAATTCTCTCTGGATGATATTATGGGTAACTTTTTCCTTTTGTCTCTGCCTGTAAATAATTCTACTAAATACATTAATAAGAGAAATAGCAGTTAAGTTACTAAGTACCTGGGTGAACTCACTTGATTCTCATAACAACCTTACCCCAGAGGGGTATTATCATCCGGGTTCCACCAAAAAGAAAACTGAGAGAGGAACACAGTGAACGAAACAGAAACAAGCTCAAATAGCTAGTGAATGGAGGGGCCAAGACTCAAACCCAGCAGTCTGGCTCCAGGGCCCACACCCTTATTTTTGACATTATATTGCCCACTCAGCAAACACACGAAATAATTTTATGTATTTCATTTTTATTTGATATAATGGCTAAGCGAGAGAAGACAGGACAAAACAGAAACAAAAAACAACCAACAAAGTGGAGGCAGAGACAGAAAGAGGGAAAGTAAAAAAGAAAAAATGACTGAGTCAAGTTCTTTAAGATGAACTATTTCTCTACTAACTCTACCTCATTACTCTAAAACCTGTATCAAGGGAAACAGATCCTGCTCCGCCATTCCTTCTTTGGACAATTCTCAGGAAGCAGCAGTCTAGGCTACAGTGGAATTATAACAAGCAGGGAGCTTTCAAACTTCTACCACTTCATTTAAGGGGGAAGTACGAGAAGAGGCACGACAATAGTTGTCAAAACAAATGTAGATTCAGATGACCAGGAAAATGATACACTGGGGGTCGACAAATCAAGACACTGGTATACTACTTCAGGGCTCCTGAAAAATTTGAAACTGAAAACAGAAGAAAGAAGTCACTGTCACTGGTGCATTAAAGTATGCTAATGAGTTCTTGGTTTTCCTAGAGGTAATACCAGGAATTTTACAACTTCGCAGAACCAGATAGAACAGGAAAAGGAAGTTATATTGATGACAGACACATTAATTTAATATGGGATTATCTCTTTTGTAGAAACAACACTGGGTGACCTTATAATAAACAAATGTCTGTTGAATAACAACTCTACTGATGGGGTCATATTAGGTGTTTAATATGAATGTGCAAAAAAATGTACCTCATCTCATAGAGCTTATATTTTAATTTTCTCTAGGACAGGGACTATCAAGTAGACCTTAATTAAGTATTCCACATTGGGAATTAATTTAAAAATCCTCAAAAACCCTTTGTGCTCACTCTTTCAGAGTAGTTCCACTTTGTTTTCTAATAATCTACATTTGTATTGTATGCTTCACTAGACTATGAGTCCTTTTAAAGCAAAACTGTATGACATACTACTGTACCTGTAGAGCCTACCACAATGATTGGCACACGGCAGACACTCAATCTTTGTTGAGTGAATAAATTAATCACTTCCAAATATGACTTCTCCTCTACGTTCCAGCGCCATTATCTCCATCTGCCTATTAGACACTTCATTTAATATAACCCAACTTTGTCATCAAACATATTTAAAACCAATTTCATCACTGTCTCTGACATATCTGCAAGCCTTTATGGAGTCCTCATTTCTGTCACGTGTCACTTTTTCTTGCATTATCTTAGATAAAGCCTAAGCTGCTTAATGATTCTCTCCAAACTGAGATATAATACAACCTCTTCAGATAACTTTTTTCTTTTCTTTACATTGCCAAAAAATGTTTATATCAAATCTTTGCAAACAAAAGTATGAACTGGACACCAAGTCCTATAAGACTAGGTTAACTTAAAACATTGGTGTTACTATAATTATTAAAAACTGCCATACAAAATTTCTCTCTATATTTTATTTTTAAGCATTATTTAAATCTTGGTGGTCTTTACTGGGGGTATTTTAAAGAAAAAGTATGTTCCCCAAAAAGGAGTTCATTGCACAATGAGCTTAGGTTTTCCAAGACCAGCAGATTCTACCTTTGTTCATATTTTGTATAGGGCTCACTCCACAATACTCCATGCCCTAACCTTCTCACTCTCAACTGGTAATAAAATTCAGGTGGAGGAGACAAAGAGGGAAAAGAGCAAATTATAGAACAGAAAGGAAAAGAACATAATTTGAGGGAGTTGTAACAAAACTGTTTGGTCTGAACATATGAAAAAAGCTGCCATATATTCAGTCAAAATGTCAGTAGGAAACAGTGAAAAAATCTAAAACTCAGCCTTTCTTCGTTATTGATGTCTCAGCTATTGACAGGTAAGGTATCGTTTTTAAAATACTTTCAGACCATAGTTCAGAAGGGAACAACAGGGAAATGGACTAAGCCTGGTGGTTCACAGACTACTACTTATTTCTCCCTGCTGCTAGCCCCAGTCTTTTAGTAATGGCACTTACCATCACAACTGGCCTCACTGGGATGTTCTCTTGTGAAGTGCCTGATGGGGGGTCATTCCACTCTGGAAATTTAATAACACCCTTTTGGTATGGGGGCCTCTTTGGATATGGTTTCAGGGGTGAGGAAGGAGGGAATCTAAAAACCAAGAAGAAAACCTCTATTATTATAGTCAGTGGAAGACACAGATATTTTAACAATATCACTTCTTGTATCCTTGAGAATTTATATAATGGCAAACTTCATATAATAAATGAGTTCATAGTTGATCAAATCATTATACATGGCTAATTATACCCAACAATATGATTAAAAAAAAAATATTCATCCATCATGCCCATCAAATACCATTTATGGAGAAAAATAGGAATCAAGCATGTGACACATTTTTAAATAAATAGAATTCATTTTCTTATCATTTGACTTTCATTAATATGTTCTTAATGTGATGCCCAAGTAAGCCATTCCTTTCACCTAGCTTGAAATCCTTACTGCCTCATAACTCCAGTTGAAATTTGTACATGGTAAGTATGCAAATAGAAATTATTGATAGATAAATCCTCAGCAATACTTGCTAAGGAAGCATATATTAGAACAAAAATCATTTGAGCCAGGCAGGTATGGCTCAGTTGGTTGAGTGTCACCCCGTGTACTAAGAGGTCACTGGTTCGATTCCCAGTCATGGCACATGCCCAGGTTGCGGGCTCCATCCCAGCAGGGGGCGTGCAGGAGGCAGATGATCCATGTTTCTTTCTCCCCTCCACTTCCTCTCTCTCTAAAAATCAATAAAAACATTTTCAAAAAAATCATTTGATCTAATATTCATTTTTATAACTACTTCTAATATAGATCAATCCTCCTTCCCTAGAATATCCAACACTTCACACTGAGATAGAAGCTTCGGTCTAGAAATCCATCTCAAAGGAAATAGAAAGCTGTCCAATGTCCCTATTCTGGCTTTCAGTAATCCTGTTTCTGTCCCTCCTAGGTATCAATAGCATCACTCCAGAACTAACCAAAGAAGCCTAAATGCAATCTAAATATCTTTAAACTAGTCTAGACCATACCTGATAAAGAACAGAAATGTAATTAATACATATTTTACTTAGAGGATCTTTTTCTGTTAGCTTATTAAAAAATGATACACTATATTGCAATGTATTGCATTGCACTGATAAATCAATGCAAGAATTCTAGTTCTTAATGTTGACACAGAAGTCAGTAGACAATTCACTTTTTATTTTGACTTTTTATTTATTTAAGCCAAAATAAAGGCTTAAAATTTTGTCCATGATATCCATGGACAAAATAAAATTCAAATAAATTACAAAGATATTCCTAAAACAAATGAGGAAATCATTTACAAATGTCTATAGTTTATAAGGAAACTTTTATCAAGGTAAATCAGGAGGATCACAAATAGAGTACTGTGGAGAAATGTTTCAAAAACAGTCACAATAGACTTGAAAAAAGATGACTGATGGAGAAAAGCTGAGTTTCATCTTCTCTCAAAAGAATATCCAATAACTGCATTTTATTTGAAAGGTCAATTCTGAGTTTGTATGAAAAAAATGAGGTCTTCAAATCATTAAATCAAGTTAAAGATAAATAAACTGAAAGATAGCTTAACTTTCTGGTATTAAGTTACTAAAGCAGTTATTTCCAAATGATTCCAAAATACAAATTAAATTGAACTCTAAAGCCAGTGAAAGTTACCCTGGTTCGTAAGTAGAGCATGGCTTATAGAAGTCCAATCCTGTCTCTTAGAAGCCAACAATCACTACAAAAGTCCCATTTCCAGCCAAAGTAAAGCATGTATACACACATACACACTCACACACACACACACACTCTCACATTCACATACAATACCATATATAATTCCAGCAACAATGTAAGGACAATAGCTACCTTAAGGCCATCCTGCCACAAGAAGCACAACCCATGTGGAGATGCCCTAGAGCAGGGGTGGGGAAATCATTCGGTCTAGCCCTGCCAACGCAACCGCAACCGCAGGCTGGACTTGAAATTCAATAAAGCTAGGAGCTTTTTTCCTAGCTAATTTTTAAGCTGATAATTTTGTATGGCCCTCGATTGATGTTATAAATATCCAAATGGCCCTTGGCAGAAAAAAGTTCCCCATCCCTGCCCTAGAGGATGAAACCTCCTGTAGAAAGAGAGGGGCCAAAAGGCACAAAGGCATCACATTTGTGAGCAGAGAAGGAAGCCACCTTGGAAATGAATATTCTACAGACCAACATCTATGGGTAAAGGCCAAACTGCCAGATGAACCTAGCATAAATTGTTGACAAAAAACAAACACACAAAAAACCATGAACAAAATAAAACACTTTAAGCCACTAAAATAATATCACAGGAGACAGTATTTCACACTTGCCAGACTGGCAAGAATTTAAGCCAGTCAATATCAAATATTTTCTACTACTGGAATAAAAGTTAGCATATTCACTATGGAAAAGCTTGGCATTACAAAGTAAAGTTGAACATGCATATATCCTCTAAACTAATTCCACTCCAAGGTAACTCTGGGTATCCTAAAGGAACTTCCACATGTACAAAAGGAAACATGTCCATAAATGTTCATGGGAGCATTGTTTATAACAGCAAAAAACTGAAAGAGGTTCAAATCACCATTAACAGAAGAACAGATAACTAGATTGTGGTATACTGATATAACAAAGCAGAATATAGATGAGAAAATCCCATCAACTATAATTAAATATATCAACATGGATGAATATCAAAAATCATGAGAAATAAAAGAACAAGTCATAAAAGGACACACACTCTTCGGTACATTTTATATAAAGTTCAAAACAGAAAAATACTTCAGAAACAAATCAATATATTGTTTAAGGATACAAGTGAAAGTGTTAAAAAAGTAAAGAAAGTGAGGGCATAATTAAGACAAAAATCAGGATGTCAATGACCTCTGAGGAAAAGATTCAAATTGTGGGTAAACAAGTGTTCATTTTATTATTCTTATATAAATTGGTCAGCTACGGTTTATACATTCTTCTATGAATGATCTATTTTTCAATAAAATTGTCTGAGGGCATTTAAAAAGAACAGAGCTCCCTCTAGTGGACTAAATTTGTTTTTGCTTTATAAATTATAAATTTTATCCTAACATGATCATGGATTCCAGAATTTAAAGTCCCTTAAAAATGATCTAGTACAAACTCCACATTTGTACACTGAAGATAGAAAAGGTACTAACCACAGCTAGTCATCCTATAGAATAAGCCAGGTCTCTTACTGCTACCTCTGCTGCCAAATATTGGTTAAAAAAAAAAAAATTAGAAAATAATCTATATTAAACTATTATCCTTTGATGAATTTACTTGAAACAAATTAGAATTCATTACCTAATCAACTAGGGTATCTAAACCACAGGAAAAACATAGTTTATAATTTTAATAAATTTGACCCATAAGTGACAGAGAACACAATGACTTAAACTCTTTTCCATAATATATACTAAAATTATTCCTTTAGCATCAGCAGAAATTTGCAGCACCTACAGCTTTTGCCAGCCTGAGCCTGCCTCTTTGACTTCATAAGTAACCTAAAGCCTTTGTATAAAAAGCCAGCCGGGGTAGAGATTATTGTAGGAATTGACCTCTCTGAGACTGCCATTTCCCAGAAACCCATGGGTTCGGCAAACCCATAGCAATTTGCTGGGTTTCAATGTACTATGTACCCATTCAACATATTTTTCTAGTCCAGTAGTGCTATATAGTACTGTGTCATTTACATGCTGAAAAACTGCTAATGATTACATTTCACAATACGTAAAGTGTTCAAGGGAAGAATGAGAGATGAAGAGAAGTAATCAGTTGTCAAACTAAGAAAGCCTTGGAGCCCCAGTTCAGAAATGATTCCTTATTCCATGTGAATAAAATATGAGTAAAGGATCAAATGATAATTTTTAAGGAGGGGAGAGATGTGATCCAATCTGAAAGCCACTCCTACTTTAGATTAGCAGTAACTATTTAGAAAATAAATTACATTTGAAACAGAAACATTTATATATATTTTTCATATATAAACTACCTAGGACTTCTAAAAAGTGTACAAGATTTACAGGGAAAACTACTACCATTTACAAGAGCACCAAACACCATTAACTACTTAGATCTAAATCTAACAAAACTTGTGTACAGTCTGTGTACTGAAAACTACAAAACACTACTGAAAGATTAAAAACCTAAATAAACTGAGAGATATACCATGTCCAGGATTTGGAAGACTCAATTTTGTTAATTTGTCAAATCTCTGCAAACTGATCTACAGATTCCATACAATTTCACTCAATATCTCAGCAGAAATTCTTGTAGAAATAAGCAAGTTGACTGTAAAATTTATGTGAAAAGGCAAAAGAACTAGAATAGCCAAAACAATTTTAAAAAAGAACAAAGTTAGGGACACACTACCAAATTTCAAGATTTATTATAAACTTACTATAATCAAGACAGTGTTGTACTGGAGAAAAGCTAGAATATAGGATGGACTCTATATGGTGCTGTGTCCCATATACATAGGAATACATGGCCAAGAACCATGGGCTGGATGCAGGAATAGCCTTACTCACCCCTCCTCCCAGGGCCCCATTCCCACAACTAGAGGTCCTGTCCCCTAAAGAGCGAGTACTCTTGCCAGGAAACATAGCAAGGCACTTTGGACTCCTTGTGGCAGGGAGCAACAGGCAAGACGAGGAATCACTAACACAGCAGCAGTAACTGATCCTCACCAGCAGAAAGAGGACAGGCTGCTCTGACCCCGTCAAGACAGGAACACTTGTGGCAGCTCTACTACCTTGTCCCACTGTAACTGTGAATGGGCGTGTACAGAAACATCAGCCTGAGAAGTGCATGGTTAGCAAGGGTTCCGACTCTCAGAAATGAACTTTTGGGTCACACTACCAGGTAAGCCAGCCAAAATCTGCCAAGGTGATAGGTGAGGGTGAGGAAATTTACAATGGAGAGTGGAGGAGGAGAGGATGAGCACCAGTTGTAGCTATGAGACCAGCTGCAGCAACAGGGACTATGTTCTTCTAGTAATTTCCGTCTCCTAGACTTCGCCTCAGGAAGAAAGGCCCATGAAAGTGTGGAAAG